TTTTCCTCGCCTTGATGGCAGAAAGTCTGGTATAGACGCTTGCAACGGGTGGGCGCTGATCATACCGGCCCGGAACAGCATCCATGGGATTTGCATCGCTGATGAGGATGCGGAAATGGGTAAAGTTGGTGGAAACGGCCGCGGGTATGACGGCGTGGAGGGGTACCCGCTTCTCGGGACCTGTGATGCACGTCGGTGTGGCTAACCTCGTACAGGCCGAACGGACTGGGCAGCACGACATGATGCTAGATTAGATGCAACTGGCAAGTTCGCATCTAAGCGGAATCTAGTTGGGAGCCTTGGTTTGCGCAAAAAACTATCTTCACGAGCGGGCCTTTCCCCAAACTTTGTTTAACAAGCGGGAATAAAGTATGCGTCACGCAGTTCCCCGAGAGCTTCCTTGGGGCAAACGCTTCGTAACGGTTTTTTGTTGAATCGTACATGTTAAGCGCTCAGCTGAGAATCGTAGCTATTAGTTTGCAACCTGGCAAATCGGAGCTTTGCCCGCTCTGTAATAAACATGGCAACAGGTGAGAACAGCTGACGTGGAGGTGGAGACGGAACGAGGTTGCAATGATTCCAGAACTCGAGGCACTGCCGACCAGAGAGATAGGTTTCGTATAGCGTTCGCCCGGTTAAGGACATGGCAAAAACGACACTGTGGAGGGCAGGTAGCTCGAGAGCGACTGGTAAGCGACAAAAGGCCCGGTACGTGGCTTGTCCTCAATCGCCATGCCGCAGCAAGCAAAGTACCGGTGTCAGATGCCAGATGTGGAACTAGGGATATGTCATTGTTCATGCGAGCTGCTCTCGGTAGCGAAAGACAGGAAGGGGGTCGCAGCATCCGGTGTACACAAGTGTTGGTATCTTCGGGTATTCATATGCTCCAACCGGATTGCACGCGTGGAGGGGCAGGATGCCCTTGCAAGTCGACGTTCTCGACTTTCCATGACAAGGAATGTCACTGTAATGCATGACACGGCAGGAATAGGAACGCTCAGCTGAGGCGATGTCGTCACCAGCCAAAAGTGGCCGAGATGATGAATAAGGCTGATGCAGTCGCTGTACCTGTCCGAGTGTCGCACAAACCGTATAGTGGCCTGAAAAAGAAACACCTGGACTCGCGATAACGACTAGGCGGTGGATAAGGGGTGCGTATGCCCCTCGACCGTTCCTGATACACGGCAAGGAAGGCTCGCCCAGTTTCCATGGCATGGAACAGGGCAGGGCCGGTCTTGTCATCACCGCGCAGCCATCATGACGGACGCAAGTCGTCGGTATTCGTCGCGGCCTGCATGCGCCGATGCGATATGGTTTGAGGATGCGACGGCGCCGCTATGGCAGTGCACCCGCGCTTCCGGCGAGGGCCTTGGATCGAGCAATGGCAATGCCAATCAGGCACAGGCGACGCTCACAGCATGCCACGGTAGGCAGAGTAAGACCTCCTGACTAAAGAGGTAGCAGTAGAGGGTCTGTGGCAGTCACGCAGTCACCCGCCTTGTCTGCGCTGTGGCCAACTCACACCTGCAGCAGCAGGTGGCAGTCTAGAGAAATGGAGGTGAGACGGCCTTGTGTGCGCTCAGGGCGAGTCAGGGCGAGTGAAAGGCTGACAGCACACCTCCCCTTGCAAACAGACTAATTCTAACCGTCCACGTTTTCTGGCGGTGCCCACTTCGGCATGCATGCACTAGCTCCAAAACGCCAGCGACGTCGAGTGGGGAGCTCCGGGCTGCTGATGCACCAGGCGTCGACCAGGGTGCCTGGACCGCGCAGAGGCGTCACTATACATCCGGTAGGGTAGTATGGGGTGAATAGCGGCTAGGCGATTTCGACACCATTATTATACTACCCGGCTTCTCGCACACTTCCGTCATTCTTCAGTTCCCGTTGCACATCTTCAATTCTCCGACTTGGACACCATTCGCTTGCTGATCGACGCACATCTTCGCCATGTCTAGCAATCCACGATACTACTACTCACTGCCCACCGAGGCTCCTCAGCGATCCCGATCAGGCAGCCGACGACCTCCTCTGACGCCGTCAACTGTCTCTTCGCCATGCCTGACTACCCTTGTCCCCACAACATCTCGCCGGGACTCTGGTACCTCGGGAAGCCCCATCAAGGCCTCTATGCTCCTCGCCAAGGTTGCCTCATCGCCCACTACCCCCAGGGGAGAGACACCGCCTGGAAGCCCAATGCTCTCGCCACGGAGCAGGCTTAACTCGGAACCATCCTACTCTTCCGAGAGGCCTTCCATGTCGAGGACTGAGAGCGAGCGTTACGTCCGACAGTACAGGAAGCAGGGTAAGCATATTCTATGGACTTGATATGCAGAAGCATGAAACTGACACTATGCTAGATGGCTACATCAGCTTCCCTGACTTTGAGAAGTTTTGCCAGAATGAAAACCCCTACGACCAGCAAGACCAGCACTCTGATGTCAAGTCTTGAAATGGACGCACAGAGCGTGTCGATGGTGTCAGGCAAACGAAAGAAACCTTGACATGCACCGAGACTCGCAAAACCTATTACCATCAAACCTACCAAGGCCATTCCTTACTGTTATCCAAAGGACCAGCACACCACCCTATCTGCATCCAACATTTCCAAAGGTCAGCAATGTTCAGCCTGCCGAGCAGTCAAACCTAGCAAGATGCTAGGACGCGCGGAACCCACTATGCCATCTTCACTATGTTTTGGAATCAAACCGGGAAGAATCAGGCAATCCGTTTTGTGTCATGGCGATGACATGTCGAGACGCGGGACGGAAGAAGGAAGTTGCGTGGGGGGGAAGAAGACGACCCGCGAAGGCGTCTTGTGACTCGACGCGCAAGTACCTGACTGTCACTGTGATGATGTCAGCGCAATCGGGTTAGCAAGACATCGAGGAAGGCGTAGAGGACGCAGCTGCGCGATGAAGCGATGCGCATTTTGGCGGAGGGGTCGCGCGCGCGCGCGAGGAAGTTCCTCCCCAGCCTGTGACGAGGCCAGGCACACTTTTGTAGGATATTAGCTGTAGCAGTATAGTAATGATGCATTTCCCCACATACACATTAGACATGCGATGTGCTTTTTTCATGGCCGCAGCGATGTTGGTGAAGCCTGTCTCCGGCTGCACGGTGATGACGCCTGTACAGTCGGCTCGCTGCTGCGCGCCACCATCGCGTCACCCCGTCACCGTATACTCAGATGCGGGCTCCGGACTAATCGAATGAAGCAGTCAATATTGGGTGCAAATGTGAAGTCGGACATGTCAAAGATTGTAGGTGCAAAGGCTTCTCGCAGCACTCAAGCGTCCAGTATCACATGTCGCCTCGCAAATTTCACCTCATTTATGAACGACGGCCTCACTGAGGCATGCAAAATTATTATACCCTCTCTCCACACCCCCAGATGCTCTGCATCACAGTGTGCACCTATCGACGGTGATCGCCACGCCTCAGTGTGGTCTTGGCACACGTGATGCGCTACTGGGCTCGCTTAGATTTTCGAACACCACATTGGCGTTGGATTCTCGCTCTTCGACATCGACGACGACAATCCACCACACCTCGACGCCCGACAACAAGACTCGTAATCATGGCTGTCGGCAAGAACAAGCGTCTTTCAAAGGGAAAGAAGGGTCTCAAGAAGAAGACCGACACCTTCGCTAAGAAGGACTGGTACAACATCAAGGCCCCAGGAACTTTCGCGGTCCGAGAGTAAGACTTCCCGCTGCCACACACGGGGACTCAATGCTTACTCTACGTTCTTCGCAGTGTCGGAAAGACCCTCGTCAACCGTACCACCGGTCTCAAGAACGCAAACGACGCTCTGAAGGGCCGGATATTCGAGGTCTCGCTCGCCGATCTCCAGAAGGATGAGGACCACGCTTTCCGCAAGGTCAAGCTCCGCGTCGACGAGGTCCAGGGCAAGAACTGCCTGACCAACTTCCACGGTCTCGACTTCACCTCCGACAAGCTCCGCTCCCTCGTCCGCAAGTGGCAATCCCTGATCGAGGCCAACGTCGTCGTCAAGACCACCGATGACTACCTCATCCGCCTCTTCTGCATTGCCTTCACCAAGCGACGACCGAACCAGGTCAAGAAGACCACATACGCCCAATCTTCGCAGATCAGGGCTATCCGCAAGAAGATGATCGAGATCATGGCCCGCGACGCCAGCGCGTGCACCCTCGCTCAGCTCACCCAGAAGCTCATCCCCGAGGTTATTGGCCGTGAGATCGAGAAGGCTACCCAGGGCATCTACCCTCTCCAGAACGTACGTCATTCTATACTTTCTGTGCAAATATCAAGTCCATCTAACTCTTGCTAGGTCCACGTCCGAAAGGTCAAGCTCCTCAAGGCACCCAAGTTCGACCTTGGTGCCCTCCTTGGTCTCCACGGCGAGTCGAGCCAGGACGACTCTGGCCAGAAGGTTGAGCGTGAGTTCAAGGAGACTGTCCTTGAGCAGGTATAAGGGTATCATTGGATAGCCAAGGGGTTCTGGGTCTTTTCAAATTTCTGCGGCATGATATCGGCATTCCCAAGGTGTTTGTGTTTACAAATGAAAGATAAACATGACCCTTAATGCGATTCCGCGGCAGTGATGGCGTGCATGGGGTACGATCCGCATCTGGTGTTATCAGGTCGTGCGGAAAAAGTATCATGGAAATGACATTGACGAGTTCCAATTTCACGCACCTTTTGCTGTGCACCAACCATTTCGTCTTCATGGTGTTCCGTGATGTGTAGTATGTTGCCAGCTCGTTCAGTGGTTGTCTGTGTGCCGGCCTCAACCGCCCATGCCTTCTCGACATGAGGGATCGCACAATGAATGAAGCACTGTTCAAAAATTCGAACATACTCCTCCAGCACTACCAATGAAGAGACATGACATCAAAAAAGAAATTTGACAAACTGCCTCATCCGGACACGTGCGCTACCTATTGCACATTCTCAACACATGCTAGCGTCCCATCTTCTCTTGACCGTGGGGACTGGGAACACAGCAAAAAGATTGCCTTCCGCCAGAATTGAACTGACGACCTCGTCATTACTAGTGACGCGCTCTACCACTGAGCTAGGAAGGCTGATGAAGAAGCTGAGACGCTTTTCGATGAAAACACCTTGATTTAAATCTAATATATACTTAATGCAAAAATTGAAAAAGATGGCATCAAACGTGTGCCACGGCTTCCATGGTTGTACCAACATGTATGTGCGGTGACGCCATGTTCAAGAGGACAGAACCAGGGGGCATCATCCGACGTCACTACGCTTCATCACTCGCACCAACACCATATTCAAGCTGTGCATCTGCACATTTGGCATTAACCCAACACATGGACAACACCGACTTTCCCCCCCCTTTTCCCTCATTTCCGCAACAGACCGATCAGCAAAAACGCTCGGCGCGGCCTTTTTCCTTGTCTCCTCACTCACCGTCAAAGTAGTAGACAAAACCTTGCGCTAATTAATTTCCTAGCACGCACCACCACCACTACCACTGCCCCCCTTCCAGACCACCGACGATCAATACACGTGAAAAGTGTCTTGACCGACGTGTCCATGCGCTGGAGCTGGAGCTGTCGCCCATTTCGCGGGGAAGCGGGAACCATGGAACGTTGTGGAGGGGTGTGTCACTTTGCATCCGAGCCAAGCCAGGGTTCAGACATGAGCATCGGCGTCCGGTGTGTGGATGTTTGCTTGTTAGCGTGAATTTTTTTTAGTTTGCCGTGTTCTTGTGGTGGTGGTGGTGGTTGTGGTGGTGTTTTCCAACTAGTTCACCGCTACTTTGACGATGCGGCAACGTCAGCGTACAGCACAGTACAGTACAGTAGGGCACGCGTATATGCAATGTATTTTCGATTGCTTGCGAGACAACAAGCATCGCGTTGTAGGCGCCGGTTGGGATCAGATCAGAGAGAAAGAGTGATAAGAGTATGGGGAAAAGGGGAGGGAATTCCGAGCATCGAGATTGATGGCGGTGATCGTGCGTGTGGACGGAATTCGGCGTAACGGGGAAACGGGCAAGGACGCGTTTTGCATCTCGATTTCCTTGCTCTATCTGTCTCTCGTATAATGGGTAGAGGACATGGACAGGCAAGCACGACGATGCAAAGATACTTTATTGAAAACATGATTCATGGTATGTAGCTTCCGGATCCTTCCCGAGTACTCGCAATCGCCGATGAAAGTGTGGGGAAAAAGACCAACAGAAAGAAAGAAAGAAAAAGGTCCGATGTGAGGTACGTGTGTCGGGTGTTTTTGTATGCGTGTCGTTTTTGGTCGTCAACGCTCCGAGCCTGGGCGTTTGCTGTGCAGAAAGCCGGTGGCAATGCCTTCGCGGCTCCGCAAACACACCAGTAAGACCTTCTACTATAGGAAATGCAAAACTCTATACAAGGTCTCCCCCAGCTTGCGGATGAGATAATCAACCAGCTTCATGAAGATTCCTAAAATAGTCCGCTAACCAATACGCCGAACAAGCTTGCTTGTGGGTAAGCCTTCCCGTCTCCGAACCCTTACCCTGATGTCGCCTTTGGGAACCTTGATGCTTGCTCCGTCGATGGCTTTTGGAAGGACCCATTTCGCTTCCTTTCGCTTTGTATTCTCCTTTGCTCGGTTCGCTTCTTCTCTAGCGGTCTTCTGCTCGTTGGTAAGGGCAGCTGCACCAATGGAGGCTTCATTGCCGGCTTCCTGCAAATGATCGAGGAAGCTCTTTTTTGGCGCAGGAGCGATCTCCCACAGCTGGATGATACCTGCGATGAATGGTATCAGGAGGGCTGTCTTGAACGATTCGGAAGAGTCGTTTGGGGAGGACGGAATCGAAACATTGAGGAAGCGGTCGGGTTTATAGACATGGGGAGCGGGATGCGATGCAGGTGACGAGTTTATCATCGATTGAGAGAGGCCGATATCGACATATGATCCTGCCTCTAGCTCCCATTGCTCTTGTTCGCCTGGTCGCGCAATGTCTTCCTCTTTGAGGCAAACAGGCTGTGCTATCTTATACGTGCTGGCCGAGCATCCGTACAGACGTCTTGCCTCGTTGATAGAGGAGCGGAGGTAAGGTGAGAATGTCGCAGTAAGAGCTTCCGTGGCTGATCCAAATCGTATCTCTGGTGGTGCGGGGAAGGACGGGTGTATTGATGGAGGCTGACCAGCCTGAGCCCAGTTCTTGGTTTCTTTCTTGATCTTCTCGAGTGGAGACTCCTCTGAAGCCTGGCCATCGTCCGTTCTCGATGATGAGTAAATGTGCAACAGTGTCCAGAACACGAGCGGTACGACCTCTGAAACTACATCATGTACAAGACGGAGAGCGATTGAAGCCCTAAGTTCCATTGGTAGGTCGTGCTTTGTAAAGAGTTCATTGAGCTTCATGAGAGGCGTGACTGTTTCGGCATCTGTGTCTTCGTCGCCGCTAACACTCTCGTCATCAGCCGGCGCCTTCTTCACCGGTGGATTCGTTAGATCTGCAAAGTGGTTTGCAAAATTCCGCACTAATCTCTTCTGCGCCAAAGCTGCTCCCGGCAACCCTTGAATAGGTGAAAGCCGTGGTAATCCAAGAGCGAGTGCCCAAAAGCGTTCATTGAGGGAAGCCAGATCCGTGGGAAGCAATTGATAGGATTCGGTAAATTGAAGCCCGACAATCGGTGGTAGAATCGCGTTGCAACAGAACTCGTTGATGAGCATGAAAAAGTCGCACTCAGCTTCCGATGTACCGTCTGTGAGTTCCACATTCGATACACGTTCCCATTGCATCTGGTCGACGATGGAGGAGTTGAAAGTGGTGACGTCCGGAAGCGATTCGGCTAAGAGGCTCAGTGAGGCTTTGATCAGACTTTCCTTTGTCGAAGCCCCATATATATCTGTTTCAACGACTTGATTGATCTCCGGTACGAGCTCAAGATAATGACTTTCCATTTCTGATGGCAGCCGGAATGCGTTTCCAAGGACTGCAAGTTGATTGTTGTCTAGGTCTTCAAGGCTCTGCCAGCTCTTGTATAGTTGATCAAGTAAAGCTTCTGATAGTAGGACGTGGTGTTTACTACCAGCTGCTTTGTATGCGATTATACTTGTTGTGGACGAGTCTCTGTATACTGTCAGATGGATACTCGCATATGAAGCTTCCAGACTGACCGGACGCCGCTTAGCCACTCCTCACCCCCAAACGCAATACTCCCAAGGTGCCTGAGAGCCGGGATCCAGTATGGCAACGGTTGTATCCGTCTCTTCCCATCTTTACTCTTGGCTTCTTTTGCCGAAGCTGAAAAAAATCTCGTGGGTAGTAGCACAAGAACGGCAGAAAGCGCGAATTGAGGCAAAAGATCGAACCACGAAAAGTCCTCCGGTATAAGATTTTCGAGTGTTTGCAAGAAGCCAAAATACCACGCGATAACGAGTGCAAAAGGACTGAAGAGCGTGAGGTAGCATGTTGGCAAGAACAGCGCCTTTATCAGGCCGTTGGAGGCATGCACGGCCAGAAACAAAGTCCTCAGGGAGCCCATACTGGCGGTGACGAAGCGTCAGTGTCCTGCGGCGTCTTCGGCGATGAATGAAAGAAACAGGCAAATGCTCAGCCTTCTGCTGAAGTCCCGGAGAACAGCTGCAGGCTGTTTGCCGACTTTGTGAGTGTTTTTGGAGGGTCGGATGATGGTAAAGGCTCAGCTTCAAGCCATGAGGCTCTGTGCTTCGGCGATTAAGCAAGTCGCGAACCTGTGAGTAGGTGTTTAGAACGGCGACAACCGTTTATGCAGGTACCTGGCAGGGTGTGATTGATGCGGCTGAGAGTGATGTTTCGTAGGCCACGGTAACATTTGAGGCACGCTAAGGGACAAGATCCCTGCCCAGCTCCTCGCTTACAGTAAGAAGCTGAACATAGAACCCCTCAGCCCTATCACCATACTTGCAGCATAGACTTTCCCGTCCGTACAACGTGTGAGAAGCCAAGTGCTTAGTTATCAACCTTGAATAGTATGTATCTCCGTCGGATGGAGACTGTCGGTGTCTTTGGGTCTCGCGCCCTTTGCCAAGACCAGGCTATTACTGCGGATTTTCAACTTGGAGACCGACCGCGCCCTTTACAACCGAAATTGAACTAATTCCGCCTTTAGTCTTCACCGCTTACCAAGAGTCGTACAGAGAGCGGAACGTAATATTTTGGGTAAATATAGACACGAAGCCACCTGTTCAAGTAACTAGACACTAACATCCAGCGCAGCAACAAACACTCGCGGTTTATCAATACTCAAACACCAGATTTTGAAAATAGAGAGAGAGAGAGAGAGAGAGAGAGAGAGAGAGAGAGAGACGTTCAAAATGGCATCTTCATCCGTCCCTGCCCATCTCAACTTCATAACCGGCAACAAAAACAAACTCGCCGAAGTCCAAGCCATCCTCTCCGGCGTCATCGAGCTCCGAAACCAAAATGTGGACCTAGTCGAGATCCAAGGCACAGTTGAAGAAGTAACCAAAGACAAGGCGCGAAGGGCCGCTGAAGCTGTAAGTCAGATGACTCGTTTTCGCATTTCATAATAGTCTGCGTGGCACTGGTCTCTGTTACGACATCCTATCTTTGGGTGGATACAGTACTAACTCTCTCTCTCCACCAGGTCCAAGGCCCAGTCCTGGTAGAAGACACCTGCCTCTGTTTCAAAGCCATGAACGACCTCCCAGGCCCGTACATGTACGTCTCATCTACTGCACCCCTCCCCCCCCCCCCTCCACCTTCCCTCCCTCCACCTTCCCTTGATCCTCCAAAACAGACTCTTACACACCTCCCCTTCTTCCAGCAAATGGTTCATGCTCTCCCTCGGTCCCTCGAATCTGCACAAGATGCTCTCAGGCTTCGACGACAAATCCGCCCAAGCAGTCTGCACGTTTGGATACTGCGAGGGTCCCGGCAAAGAAGCTATTTTGTTCCAAGGCCGCACTGATGGCAAGTTGGTTGAGAGTCGGGGGTCTACTGTTTTCGGTAAGTCATTTACTCATCTCCACCACCCCCGCGTCTTGAAGTTGCTGTCGGGCGATGCGGTGTTTCTTTTTTAGACAGAGGAATTTTTTGTGTGTATGTGGGAGAGTAAGAGATT